GTGGGAAGAAATGGTAAAGGGTGACTTTTCTAGTAAAAAATCAATAGAGCACACATTAAAGATATTAAGAAACAGTGAACCCAAAAAATAGCTATTATTGAAGACACGCTTTAATAAGGTTTTTCTGGGAATGAGAGTGAGCCACGGAGGCTTTAAGGTTTTTGCCAAAGCTCCAGTTAGGAGGAGAAACTCATTTTTTATAAAAAAATGAGAACAAAAATATTGGCCAATGGCAAATAACATTGGGGATGGAATTAAAAGAGTGTTAAGAATCCACTGCTGGTCTGGAATCATTAAATCATTTTTAAATTAAGCCAAACAAAAAATTACAAGTGATACTTGGAAAGGTGAAAAGCTTTATTCCAAAAACTAATGTTTTGAAACTATTATGGTCACTGCTTCCAAATGATTCAATGCAGTTTGCCAATGCAAAGCTTTGACAAAGCACATGCTTACTTGTTGGATAAGAAAGTAACTTCCAGGATTAATGGCATGCTTTAATTCTGAATTTGTCACTGATGGGATAATTTTTTTAATAAATCATGCATTCCTATCATCTGTGTTTTGGAAAGCATTTTGATAAATTAGGCAGACTGCAGCAGACACCTGTAAAAATTATGTGAGAGCTGATGGAAACTCCTAGTGATAAGAAATCTTAGCAAAACTTATATCTATTTTTACATATTTATTTATTATATATATTTATTATATTTATTATATACATTTATATTTATTATATACATTTATATTTATTATATATATTTATATATTTATTATATACATTTATATGTATAAATCACATATATGATTTTTTTGAGGTAAGTGGGGATGTCTAAGCATCCAAATTTGCTTCATAAGAAGAGAAAATCTCTATCATATAGAGAGATGTGTTCATATTGTAGAATACAAAAAAGGAGTTTTTCCTTTTTTATTCTTCAAGGTTCCCAAACAAATCACAGCTTACTTGTGTCTTGTAATAGGGCCTGTTCCAAAGACCTTTGATGCTTCCTATTGACTCAACAGGCTTTGGATCTGGCCCTAAAGTAGTAAAACCTTTGTGGAATGTTTATAGATAACCACTTACTCCATGCCAGCTTAAGGAAAGCAAAAGGAAATAATTTAAATGCATCTTCCAGTGACATAAGTCTCATGAAGAATTAACTAGGATGAGCACTTACTCTAGCTGGTGCACTGTCGATTTGAACAATGCAGACAAAAATAATAATTAAAACATAGCTTCATGCTGAGATGAAACTTTCAAGAGTGTCTACTGTGTTAAGCTTATGATTTTTTCTGGTTTTGTATTTGCAAGCATAATTACGTCCCAGAGGCAACAGGAGCTAGAGCTTGTCAGTCCCCATTTCCCCCTCCGATAGGAGATTAATTTCTTTACACAGAAATCCAAAAATTGATGCCAGAGCAATAATAATGTAAACAAGTCTTTTATTCTTTTAATCTGGAATGCATAATTTAATGGCATAGTTGTATAAATAATGAAAACATCACATCTACTTTAGACAACTAAGGGTAAACTGAAGGTAACATTTAATGTAGTATTGATTGACCGCATCAACCAAACAACGGCAGACATCTGTATGGATGACAGCATTTAGGAAAATGCTACCAAGTCTATCAATACAGATTAAGTAGGGGTGGGATGGAGCAGACTTGATGGCTCAGAGTCCTGGTAATGGAATACGAAGCCTTTCACCTCCAGCACACTGACTTGACCAGCCTAGGTCAGTCTGTCACTGAAAGTCATTACCATCAGAGGGTTCAGTGAAATGGGTTTGTCCTAATGGCAGCCTGCCTGTGTCACAAAATGCACCATCTATCATGACTGACATCATGGTGAGATTTTCAGCTGGAAGGCTGGAAGGAGAGAGGATGGGCTCCACAACTCTCCTATCCTTGCAGGAAGCCTGGGTAAGGACAGTTGTCTGGGGCTGTGCTGCAGGGATTTTAGGAATGCCTGATTTTAGGGATAGTGGTGTCAAGCATGATAGGAGTAGGCACAGCACACCAGCAGCATGAAGTTACAGTAGCTCTCTTTTGGATAGATTTGAGAGAAACAGTGACACATGAGGAAAGCAAAACGGGTATTAAAAAAAAAAAAACCAACCAACCAAAGAAAAAAGCAGCAGAATTCAGAATTCTTTATTAGGCAGAGGTGAGAAATGACATACAAAAGCTAAGTGAAAACAAGATAAGATAGGAAGAAAGGATTTGAAAATGAAGGCATAGTGTGTACAGAGCCAGCATAGGGAGACATTGGAGAGATGCAAAGTAAGGAATTACATGGATAATGGGATTAGCTAAGGTGATTATTTCTTTCAGTAGCAGTTCTGGTTGGATATGAGATGAAGACTGTATCTGTCAAAAACACCAGAAATTACATTGTTAGGAGTGACAGGAGCATGAAGAGAGTTTTAACTTTGTGGTTAGATGGGGAATACTGTACCTTGTAGAAGGTCTGAAGTAAGGTATTACCTGAAAGTTTCAATGTTAGACTGAATAGTAGCCCAAATCAAATAGCTGTTTTAGTGGCAATACTGGCTACACTTCAGTTTAAGTGATGGGGAAAAACTCTTACTTGGTGATAGCAAAATTAATAGAACAAAAATAATTAAGAACATTATTTCATACCTTTGAACTTAACCTGGTGTTTAGACATACAATAGGAAACATCAGGTTAGACAGCAGACAAGTTGTTGCACTTCAGGGAGATAGTTTCCTGTATGTTAATTTAGTCTCTGTTGTCAGCTTGCAACAAAGATGTTGAGCTTCATTTCCCAACCTTTTACCTAAACTAAGTAAACTCTAAAAGCTCAGGAATGGCTTCTTGGAGCTTTGCAAAAGATAAATAAAAAAGGAAACCTATTTTCAACGGGCTCTACTATGCTTCTGTTAAGAAAAGTTTCACAAATCAGAAACTTAAAAATCACTGCATATGATGAGGACAAAAAGGGACAGATTCTTGTCAAATTGTCAGAAGAAGCCAAAGATCTCATGAAAGAATGAAAACAGGAGGAAAACCAGGAGAAGGCAGTAACTCAAAACAATGGCTGATATATTTCCTTTAAAAAATTGTGAGATAAAACTATGTAATTTAAAAATACATTTGGAGTTTTACACTGATCTGATCCAGGGATTTGACAGCAAACTGATGGGTGTGGCAAGATCAACAAAAAATCCTCTCTGATTCACATACATAGCAGTTGCAGTCACATAACAGTAATGGTACTTCTATTACTACCTGTGAGAAACAGATTAAAAATATCCTAGGACACATATACTCCACCCACGCTGCTTCTAATCCCACAAAACACAGCAAGCTTGTCAGTAGCACTTCATTGTCTAAAAGTCACCGCCCTTCTGACCATTCCATTCTGACCGCTGTGAATCATAATTTTTTTCTTGCAGAAAAATATTGCAGTGGGAAACAAACAATTTTCCCATAAAATGAGGATTAAGAATGAAGACGTGAAAAAGTGAAACTAAAATGATGAAAACATCTCAGTGCTTATAGAGCTCTTTTTCATGAAGTCATAATTTCTTATGTTTTTTTACAGATTAAGTATTGAGGCTGCTGGGCATACACAGTTTATTACTTAGAAGAACAATTGAGTAGTGAAATGAATATTGTGATTAGGTCAAATTAGGTGAAACTGAACTAGAACCAGATGTATTTTGCTACTAAGACTCACATGGACAAAGTCCTCAGCAGTGGTTCAGATAATACAAAATAATGTAGCCAAGAACACTAATCCTGATATTTCTTAGTGGAATTTTTCTGGCTGTGATTCTACAGTCAAAAATCCCATGTAATGCCTGTTTGAATATGATTGCTATTTTTTTCGTAATACCATATGCAAAAATCCATGAGCATAATCATGACTTGGGTTTAAGTAAATCATATTAGAACAATCATGGAATCAAAATGAAATATTAAAATATTTCACACATATAGAGTTTCTGCCCTACGATTAGGAGTACGGATGAAATAAAATTATTGTTGAAAAATCTGAACACTGAAAAATCAGAAGGTGCCCACGGTGGTTGTGGCAACTCCAATTCCAGAGAGGGACAAGATTTCTCAGGAAGAATACGTAATGTTGTGTCCAGTGAATTGACACATTCGAAGCAGCTAAACATCTTCAGTGTGAGATTTCTTGACAAAAGAAAAGGCTACAAAAAAGGTATTTTGTCTCATGACTCAAAATCAGGACAGGCTATTCTTCTATGGAAGCTGTATCATTTAAAGCATCTATTAATCTTGCTATAGAAATGGCTGGAGAAAACTGTGGTTTGGTATGCATGCAGGACACACACTCTGAGTAATAATTTCTCTGCAAGCTCATTTTCCACTGCATATGCATATAATCTAGAAAGATGGGAAAGTTCACCTGTGTATGGCTTTCACTTCCAAAGTTGCAGAGGTAAACAAATTCGAGTATTTCTTTTTCTGTGTATCTTTCCTTACAAGGGAGTGCAACACTTGGTCATCAAGTGCCATTTCGCAAGAACCAAGGCATGCACTTTCAACATTAATCAGTAAACTGTTGAGAGTCAGAGGCTTGCTTCTTGCACAGAAATAAAAGAATTATCTGTTGCAGAAGACCCAGCACCATCTCAAGGTATCCGCAGAATTACCTGTTGGGAGTTCATAATTTCCCATGTGTTTTGTTTTTAGGACTTTTAATCTAAGTTCCCACTTGGCTTGTGATGATGGGGTGCTGGAACTAGATGATTTTTTATGGTCCCTTCCAACCCAAACCATCCTGTGATTGTACAATGTGAAAGTGGCTAATTGCTTTTCGCTCTACAAGTCTGGAGGAACCCAGCACCGTGCCTGGGAAACCCTGCGACACACCGAGTGCCACAGGGGAGCTGGAGCCGCCGCAAGCGCCGCGGGGCCGGGACACAGCGGGCGGGCCTGGGAGGCGGGGACGCTCGGGCAGGAGGTGGCGGGAGCCCCGCTAGCACAGGAAGTCGCCCCGGCGAGGGAGGAGGGAGGAGGCGGAGCTGTGCCGCTCGGCCCGAGGTACCGCGCCGCGTCCCGGGGCGGGCGGGCGAGCGGCCGCGGCCGGCGGGCCCGAGCGGGGCTGCCCTGGCCCCGGCCCCGGCCCCTCCCGCGCCGCGGGGGCGCCGCCATTGGCCCACGGGCAGGGAGCGCGAGCGCCGGCCGCGCGCGCGGCCGGCCCGCTGACCGCCGCGGGCCCGCCGTGCCATTGGCCGGCGGGAAGCGCGCGGCCCCGCGATTGGCCGGAGCGCGCTGTCAATCCGGGCGGCCCCGCCCCCGGAGCGCCAGCGGGAGGGACTGGGGTGGGAGAGGGTCGGCCGTGCGGCTGCCATATTGGGCGTGGGCGGGATGGCTGCCGTGCTGCGTTGTCCTGCGGTGCCCTTTAGTGTTCCGTTTCATCGTGCCGGGCCCCCTCCACTGCCAGGGCTGCTTTTCCGTGCTCGAAGAAGTACGACCCTGACTAGGCAGCCAAACTGAAGGGAAACAAACCCCTCACTGAGGTGTTCTCGGCGGGGCCGTGATCGAGGCTGGCCCAGGCATGCAGCGGAGCCGAGCTGGCCGAAGCCTGCAGTGCCTCCATGGGAGGATAGCTCACGGTTTTCCATCGTGAGCGCGACTGCTCACAGGCTGCCGGCCTTTTGTTGGGTGTTTGTGCGAAACTCTGTCTTGTCTGAGGTTTTAGGGTGTCTGGAGCTGGACAATCCGCTGCTGTGTGTGTGCTGACTGCCCACGTGCAGTGAGACCGGGCCGTGTAGTGCTGCTGGATGTGTTCGGCTGGCTGTGGGTGTGCAGTAAATCTGATCCAACCCGCAGTGTTGAGCTGGCTGTGTTTGCCTTATAGGCGTGATGTGTTCCGGGTACATTGGACGTCTTTGTGTTCTCTGCAGAGGGCTCTGGTCATGGCTGTGCTCAGAAAATCCTGGACAAAAATATGTGAGAATATGTGAGCTGCGAAAGCTTCTAAATGTGAAGTGTTGGCAGGGGATTCTCTGCCACACTGTTGATGTGGCTCTCAAGCTGCTCCACCTTCCATCAGCCCACACAGTTACAAGGACAGATGATAGTAGTATCAGAAACCCCCTCTGAAAGAGCCTATGGTGTAATTGGGCTGTATATGCAGCACACACCTTCACACTCAGCAATTCAATTGCATGTCATAGGTTTTGAGCTCCTTCCTGTGGGGCCCAGGCTCGTTCCCAAAGAGCTAATCAGAATGGAAGCGTACTTGCTATTAAAGATGTATTTCTGTAGTGGAAAACTGTATAAAATGTTTAAAAGATAGACTAAATTCTACAAATGCGGGGAAAATTGATCCATTTCTTAATGGGGGACTGACTGCATTTTGGCACGTCACCCTTGGCTGAATCACTTCACTCTTTGGTACAAAACTGGCTGGAGACAAGCCATTGTTCAGAAAATAGCTTCTCTGCTCACCTAAAGAAAAATTTGGCCAGTTTTTTTGTTGACATGATTGTCTTTCATCATTCATTAATACAATTTATTCTCCAGGAATAATATGTCATTGTGAAAGTTGGAAAGATGTAAGTCTACTTCAGATATCATTTATGACTAAGTCTTCCAGCAAAACCTGCTTGAGCAGGAATAGATGAGCACAAGTAGATGACCTCAGAAGGTCCATCAGCAGCCTTGGGAATTCTGTGAATTTATGTAACCAAGAAGAGATTACCACAATGTCCTACAACTAATTTACTGTGCTTAAAGTAGTATTTTGTATTTGCAAAAACAATACAGAAAATACTTTCTCAATGCAAATGTGGGATCTCTTCAGACATCTAGGTTTTGAAAGATTACTTCAAATCAGATTACTAAAGCAGAGCTGCCTTTCAACAGTGATAGACTTCCTTATGTGTTTAGCTTTAAGTCTTACACTGAATTTTATACAAGGACGTGTATGTGGCTTTTATAAAGTCATATAAACAGGACTATATGTTCCATTTCAGGTACAAGCAATTGAGTTCCAGAGTTTATTACTGTATCACTTTGAATGACCAGGATTTTTCCATACATTGTTCCTTAAGAGCATACTTTAGTGAAAGGTAATACACAAGGAGATAAATACTTTCTTCATAAAATCGGGAGTAAAGGCAATGCCTTTATTACTGATTTTTGCTTGGTTAGCTGTGGTCTTTTTTCCATGAATTTGAACTATGCAGAGTAAGTTTATGTGCATTGGAAGTTGCTACACTCACTTCTGCCCATTCTGGATTTCGTAGCTGTTAGACTCTGCAGCCTCTTCAGATTAGGAAGCCAGTTTGTGTGCCAGTTTGAAAATCTTCTACCTCACTATTGGTCAAAAATACAGAAAGAAGTCTAGTCATGTAAGCTAATATTAACCTCTGGTACCTCTCAGGCTATTGTTAAGATTTACTTAATTCAAATATTTCAGCCAAATTCTTGCCGCCCAGTCTAAAGCACACCTGAAGCTCAGTGTATACTTTATGGCAGTAGCTCCAGAGAACATCCAGAAAACAAGACAAAAGGTGTTTTCTTTGGATTCTATTTTTGCAGTGCAGTGTAGATACTGTTCTTAAATTTTTCTGTGAAATTTGTTTCTCTAGACCATGAATTAGTTTTAGTTAGATAAATACTTTTCAAGATTAAAATTGATACCATGAAGAATAGTTACTGTTAATCACAGTTAGAATTTTAGAGTTTCTGTGAGTTTTTATCATGACTAGGAAGTTGTTGGGTTTCTTTCTTTGGGATATTTCCATATTAATATAAATTTTGCATTAAGCAAGGCAAGCTGTGAATTACAGGAGAGGATACGAGCTGGGCTAATGTTCCAGAATTGGATTGCTTATTAAAAATCACTCTGTTAAGTACTTGTGAAGAAAAAGTGAGTTATTATGTTTACATGTTAGGAGATATGCGAAGAGAATGCAACATAGGTGATTGTAAGATGTAGACAAAGAAGGCAGTCATTTCCATTTGCAGTAGGAGTCTCCCCCAGTCCTCTGACTCTCATACAGTGCAACTCTTGTAATGCAGTTACTCCTGGGAAACAGGAGTGTGAGAGTCAATGTTTTCTGACCCAAACTCTGCCTTAAATTTTTCTGCTCTTGTGGATTTTTTCATTTGCTTGCAGGTTTACTTTGCTTGAGGAAAATATGTGAAGAGATTTACAAAATAAATACTAGCTGATCATTTTTCAAAATAAAAAATGAAGTGCTTTTCAGTGAATGGCTATCCTCATTCCAAGTGAAGTCTGCAATGATTAAATATGAAAATGATCCATGGTTTAAATTAATATAAAAAAATTTCAGGAGATTATTACAAAGATTAACATTTTTAATGTTTTAATAGTCCCATAGTTGATCAATCATAGGCACAGTGAAACTGCTTTTAGTTAATTAACCTGATGATCCTATATATCAGTGCAGTATTTGTAAAACATAAACCTTGTGGCATGGTTGGTAGAAGAGATGAAGAAACAGTGTCTGTTATAACTCTTTAATTATCAGGTTTATTCTTGAAGTATTTTTTGACACACAAAGTAAGCAGGTAACAATTTTTTTTCCTTTTGAAAAGAAAACAGGAAAGAAAGGTAGTTCTAGGAAAAATGTGTTTGCTGTAGAGTAAGCAGCTGTTGTTGCCTGTAATGACAAACATAGATGGTCACTGGTGTGGCTGTGGAAGAACAATGTCTGTTTGCAGTGTGTGTTCTTGCATTTGTGTTTTCAGATAGAACTTGCATTAATGCAGCTTTAATATTGCAGAATTATCTGCAACAGCCTATGATTCCTGATACATTTTTATTCTTTAGAATTTTGTTTGAAGGTCATGGGAAAATGTCATGGAATTCCAGGTGCTTTTATATCACTAGCTGTGCACAGACACCCCTGTAATCAGTGAGTTGAGTAAATACTTGAGGCATTCCTGACAGGGACAGTGCTAATTCCTTTGTTTCTCATTTGTTTTGCGTTTTTTTAGCCACAGGGCAAAAGTCATCATTAGTGATTTTTTTTAAGTTTGATTCTGGCTTTCTAAACACACACTGCAGTGATACAGTGGAGCTTTGCACAATACAGCTTATTGTGTCCCGAGATTTTTTGCAGTTTTAAATATAATACATGCGTCATCAGAATATTGTTCATTCATACGTTGTGATTGTTCTTGTCATCATCCTTCACTGAGTGTGATTTACAATCAAAAAAGAGGCAGATTTGGGAAGAAAGGCTGATGAATTAGCCAATGTAAACCCAGAAGGGTTTGTAAAGAAGGATTGGAGATAAGAAAGGAAGGCTGCAGTAGGAATCCAGGGCTAGACGTTGAGCTGGTAAAATGAATAAATAAGGAAAGACTGTTCTGACAGCAGAAACTTATGGTGGAGAAGTCACGGGCAGAAAGGACAAATATGAGAGGGGAAAAGAGCAAATGATGGCAGTAGGTTAGTGTTGGGAATGATAGTTGGAAAGTTAAAATCCAGAGGACAAGCTGAAGCACACAATTTTCTACACAAACTTTTTAATGCTGTTATTTCTAGTTTTAGGTAAGACAACAAATTAAAAATGGGGTTGCATTTTCTGTAGTTTTTTGCCTCTAGCTAGAAAGCTAAATTAGTTCTCATGTATTTCTGTTAAAATAAATAGTGAAACAAAGTAATAACCTTTTATGTCAAGAGCTGTTTTTTATATTGGGGAAACAGATTGGCTTGCAAGTGTAGTAGGTTTCGAAGTCTCAGTTGTTTTCTCCCTGGCTGTGGTGTGTGGTGTTAATGAAGAAAAGGTTACGTTTACCCATGATGATTCCCTCTAACATTTACATTATCAATCAGCCTGTGTAGCTTTTTGTGCTTTTATCTATTGTGTTTTCATTGTAATCTTTACGTATGAAGTTCTCAATTCTACAAACTCTTATGCTGAAATTTATTCACAAATGGCTCTGACAGATGTACTCTAGAAGCCTTAAATGCTGTAGTTAAAGATGGTGCCAGCTGGTCGCTTCTCCCCACCCCTGAGATTGCAGTCTGTATGGAGGAGCAATACCTGCACCTCAGTTCATTTCCCTCACCTGAGCTCACATTCCTTTTAGGGGGCTGTGTGCTGATGTGGAGGCTGGGAATCAGATCCTGAGACCTGGGCACAGAACATATCCCCCTTTGTTGTCCTTCCATACAGCCTCCTAAACTGTGGCAGGAGATTAAGCACCTGGGTCAGCAACATCTTAAAGCCTCTCAGATACCCAGGGCTTGTTGAAGAGACTCCTCTGTGGTTTTGAGTTGAGTATGTTTAAAACTTTTTTTTTGAAATTACCTATATTTTCAATTTGTCATTGTATCAAGTCAGTGTGGAGGATATTTCCAAGCTTGGCTTTACCATATCACCACCTCTGCTTAAACTCTGACTTTTGTCTGCTTTTAGAAGTGATCATGCCTAAAAGATTATATTAAAAACCATAGATCTCTCATGTAACATATACGCTATAGAAATTGTTTAGTACGTAGTGTGGTGTTCTCATTGTGTGAGGAGCTAGTTACACTGCCTCCAATTAAGATTGCATCACTTACTTTGCTGCTAGACCAGATTTGTATTACTTAGACTCTTGCCAAAAGGAAATTGTTAACCTGAAGCAATGGATTACTTGCTTTGTTTTTGTGTCTTGGCTGTCAAAGTGAAAGCACACTATTTATATAGCTAACATTTGGTTAGGTCCTTGATTTATTGTTATGCAACTAAAATGAATTCTAAAATTCAAACTGTACAGTAACAGTAAAATGGATAAAGAGCTGCTGAGCTGCCAGCACTCAGAAGTAATGGCTGGGAGGCCACTGGCAATGGTTGAGAGCCTGTGGGGACTTGTCCCAGCATTCGCATCAGGTGTGATGTGCTTGTTGTTTTGGTCAGTTGTCTGTGTGTAAACATACAAGCAGAGTGGCAAAGGATGAATAGTTCAGTGATTGCTGGATTGCTGAAGAAAGGATGAAGTTTAGAGCACGGCTGAGATCATGTTAACATGAGTCTGTTAGAATGTAGTTCATGTGCATATGCCAAGGAGCAAGGAATGCTGGATGTGTATGCAGAATGGAAAATTCTTATCTTCTAGAGGTGTGGCTGAGGAAAGACTGAGAGGTTTGTGAGGAAGGTCCTGTAGACAAAGGGGATTCAAGTGCAGGGCAGTGTCAAGAACGTGCTGCCTAGAAGAGGTAGAAGCATAGTTTGAATAATAAGACCAGTGTGGGAACGTTGCATCTAGTTTTATTTTGATGGAAAACATGTCCTGAAAAATTTGAAAGCATGATGAAGGTCCTGAACAGACTTAGTTCTGTTCGTAGAACTGCCCTTGGGAGGTGGGTTTGAGATTGGGTGCACGCTTGCCATGGTGTTTCTGACCACACATCTGCCTTATCTTGGCCAGCTCTGTTAGCTCTCCCTCCCACCTGGTTGCTGCAGAGGCCCTCCTGCATACCTACTGTTTAGTGTCCCAGGCAAGGCTATCCTGAATCTGTTTGAATTTGTCATTTCTTCCCTTTGCAGAAGACATGAAAAGCATTGTTTCTGTTTTGTTGTATATATATATATATATATATATATATATATGCAGCATGAAAAGCTTTAAAGAATATGGTTTCTTCAACAAATTTGAGTATTAGTTTAATGGTGCTGCTAAGAATTGCAGCAGCTAATAGTTTACTGGGTTTTTTTTTTGTTCTGAAATCATGAAATGGTAAAAGCAAGGGTGGATGTTGCTTTCCTTGGAATTTTTTACATGCTATTTAATTTATGAATGAATCTTCCTGTAATTTGGAATGAAAAGGTTAATAAAGCATTGTTAGATTGATGCTTACTTTTTATTCTGAAAGATAGGATAATATTAAAGCCTGGGTTATTTTGGTGTCTTTCTCTGTATACAAAGCTAGAGACCAGAAGGCTAAACAGGAAGGGTGTTCTGGAAAAAATATTATAGAGACAAAACCTATTGAAAAAAACTTGAAACTATTTTCATTTTAAGTACACCAGTGGGGTTAAATAATACTAATAACTTCTGTTAGAGAAACAGATCATAATAATTTAAAACTAAAGTTTCTGGCACACTT